GTGAAAAATAATTTACAGATGGTTTAAAAATGTTTTAAGTAATTTTTTTAAAGGGATTTTGGCGATTGAGCGCTGTATGCCATGTCGTGACTGCTTTCATTTTCGTTGAAACTTCTGTAATATGGACCGGAACCGCTCCAACCGGCCGTGTTTGAGTAACTGTTTCCGGTGGTCCAACCCGCATTACTAGGTACCTTAAAAACGATAAATTATTATTATTATTATTATTATTATTATTATTATTATTATTAAAACAAATGATTAAAAAAAATTTTACGATTTAGAAAAATATAGACTCACTTTTCCGAAACCTCCTAATGCGCCACCGCCACTACCGCCGAGTAATTTTTGTAAACCTAAAATGGCAGCAATGACGAATGCAATTTTAGCGAGTACTAAAGCTTTAGTTGCAACTAAAGCTAAACCTCCCAAAAGTAACGGAATAACGGCAAAAACTTTGGCTCCGACACCAAGAATTATTGGCAAAAGTGATTTTTTCAATTTTCCACGTCCTTAAAAAAATCAATAAAATCAATAATAAGAAAACATTTTTTGGTTTTTGTGTTGTTTGTTTGTTTGTTTGTTACCTTCTTGTAAAGCTCTTTCCAAATCCATCGATGTCGATTCGGGCATTTTCAATTGTAACGAATGTGATTTAAGAAATTTAAATGCAGCATCGAAAAACAAATCGATCAATCTCGATCTTTTTTCCGACGTTTCTTCCGGTAGCATGTTTTCCAATTCCGCTTCGCTTAAACCTCTACCCGTTCTATCGATTTCTCCAGATCTGACAAAACTCATACCTTCGAATATTTTCAAATCTTCCATTCTTGCCATTCTGTTCATCATAGTCACTGCTTTGACTCCCATACACGTTTCGAAATCCTTATCTTGACAATCCGTAAAAAACTTATATGCCGTTTCTAAACCGTTATTATTATTATTTATCGATCTTCCCGTATTTATTTCATTTTCCTGTGGGTTCACGATACCACCGAACGCGCACTCAACTAAAACAATCATCATCACTATTAACGAATTCATGATTGTTGTTGTTCTTGTTGTTTTTGTTGTTGTTGTTCGTCTTAAAAATCTCGTGTGCAACTGATTATTTTTCATCTTTGATTCTTTTTTTTATTATTTTATTCTTAGGCCTGGTCTTAGCATTGTCTTCTTTTTTTTTTTCATTTACATCCGCTTTTTTCCAAGTGGGGCTCATCAAACCATCTCCTCCCGTCGTATATTAACACACACGCATGGGTGGCATAATTTTAAAACGTTGTATCTCCTCATTTTCCCTTCATTTCCTTATTATTATTAACATTCTCTCATTAATTATTTATTTTAATTTATTATTATTATCATTATTATTATTATTAACTGACGTTTTAAATAATTTTCGTATCGTAAAAAAAAAAAAACTTTTGGCAATAATTAATAAATAAAATTTAAATTCATTCATTTATTTATTTATTTAATTTTAACACTTAATAAATAAATAAATGACTTGTAAAAAAAGAATTTAAATAAATCAATAAAAAATAATAATAATAATTTTATTAATCGATCGTATCGGATTCGGAATTTAACCTTTCACTTGACTTCCTTTCACGTTATGCAATTTTATTACAATTAAATTACTTTGCGATAATTTTTTTTAAATAAATTTTTGAGCCTTAAAAGGTTTTGGGGGAGGTGAGGGAAGGAGACGAAAAATTTTTTATATATATACGAAGAGTCAAAGGTCATTTAACGGTATTTAAATTATTCGTTAATATGATAACGTATGAAACAAAAAAAAAAAAAAAAATTTTTGTATTTGTGACATGATAGGTTTTAATACGAACCAACAACAATTTAATGTACTCCGCTTATTAACGGGTTAACTTTCCCGTAAGGTAACAATAATGTGTCAATAACATTATTATTATTATTATTATTTTGTATCCGGTGTAGGTATTTTACACCGAAAACTTTTGAATCATAGATTTAGGTGTGTGTGTGTGTGTATATAGAAATCATTACTCCTCCTCCTTCTTTCTTTCTTTCTTTCTTTTCTTTTTTTTTTTTTTTTGTTTTGTTTTCCCATATTTTACACTTTCACTTTTTTTTTTTCTCTTTCTCTCAATTCGTGGTTACACATATCCTTTTGACTTACTTTTAAAACATTGACGCATGACATTAAAATTTGAGAAAAGTTCCTAATCTATGTAATAATAACACACGTTTTTTTGAGTCACGGGGAAAATGAATTTTTTTCTCGGGGGGAGGAGAGAGGGGAAAGGAAGGGAGGGGAGGTCAAATAAATTCTCAGCTTGTGTAGACGGTATTTTTATTACGTAAGCAAAAAGTAAAAAACTTTCTTCTTATTTTATTTTCGTTTTTCGTAAGGAAATGTTTTCAATTTAAAAAAAAAAATAATTCTATTAATATTAATAATAATAATAATAATAATAATGATATTTATCGATTTGATTAATTAAATGATAATGAACTTGAAAATTATTTCGTGACCTTAATAAAACACGAGGTTAAAAAACCTCCAAGAAATAAATTTTTTATTGAAATTTTTGTCTGGATTCTAAAACCTTTCTCTCTCTCTCTCTCTCTCTCTCTCTTTTTATCTCTCTCTTTTATTTCTTTTCAAAGGAATGAAAAAAAATGGGTTTAAGTGAATAAAATTGAAATGTTTTTATTTCTTTTCTTTCTTTTTTTATTGCTTATGTAAAAATAATATTCAATTGTTTTCTCATACATTCTGTACACAATTATTTAATACATATATATATTAAAATTTTATTACTCTTTTGATAGAGTAATATTTTATTATTATCTTTTAAGTTTTCCTTTTTTTTTTTACCGAATAATATTAAAGTTATATAAAAATGATGATTACAAAAAAAAAAAAAATTATGGAAAAATAACATTTTTTCTTCTCATTATTACTATTTATTTAAGTGAATTTTTTTTTATAAAAAGATATTATTTTCTATTGTTTTTTGTATTTATGTTAAATTCTTTTAAGAATTTTTTTTTAATCTCTTTTTCCTCAATTTTATTTTTACCCTTGTAATTTATTGTTTTAAATTATTATTATTATTATTAAAATTATTTTCATATCGAAAATTACATTGGAGGCATAGGTAGTACTGTGTTTGTTGTTTGTTGTTGTTGTTGTTATTTGTTTTTGGAACTCTTGGGTGTTTCTTAGAAAATGTCTACCTCAGTATGTCACCAGGACCATATATGATACTTTCTCCTGCTTTGTATTAATCTCAATTTTTTTTTTTTTTTCCAGTGTCACATTTAAGGTTTTTATTTAAAATCTTTTATAAAAATGGATGCCTAATGTTTTTCTATCATATTAAAAATTAGTCTTTCTTATTTTACTGTCAGTCCCTTGATTTAAACCTATTCTGAGTGTCACATTGTATTGTTTATTATCCTTCTGTATGTGTAAGGTTTGGATTTTTTTTTTTAACACTAATGTGAACTCATTTTCACAAATTTTTTTTTTTTTTCAGGTACATTTTATTTTTTTCAAAAGAAAATTTGCTACCACAAACATATAACTAATGGTTTCTTCCTTTATAAATATTCAAATTTGCAAAAAAGACCAAAAGGTAAATGTTTAAATATTTTTGATTGAATCTAATGTGCCTTTTGATATGCCAACGGCATATGATATCATCATCATCATCATTATTATTATAAAATTTTAAGGTTAAAAGCAGAGTGGAATTTAATATTAAATTGGTTTACCTTTTTAGGATGCTGTTATTCCACATCTAATTTAAAATTTTAATGGTATATTATAAATGATAAATAAAAGATGGAATATAATTATTGTTAAAGGGAAAATTTTAAAAGGAATTAGTGAAAGCAAAAATGAATGAAAGCAAAAAAAAAGCATATATTTATAAATTAAATGCCTTAGTAATTCAAAATTAATTTTTTAAATTTGTATTACTGTTATTATTATAACTATTACTACTTTTGCCATTGTTTATTATTTTAAACAAATTATTTTTTGTTGTTGCCACCAAATAAAGTCACGGTAAAAAAAGAAAAGATTTTTAAATGAAAATTTATGGAATTTTAAGGCACACATTTACGAAAAACATGACAAATAAATATTTTTATAAAATTAATTATTTACAGTGTCCGCCATGTTTGTGACGTAATAAATATGCGATCCTTGCGGTGAAATTTTTTCGCGCGCGCAAATTTATTTACATCGTGTAAATGTTTTCAATCGATTTCATTTACAAGTAATTTAAAAAATAAAATCGATACGATTAATAATCGATTATTAATTTTACTTTTTTATAAACAATACAACGTAATAAAATTAAAAACAAAAATTCTCGATTCCGTTATGACGTAATTATAAAATTTTATAACTGGTTATTTTTTAGCCTCTAACCATTGCTACCACCTTTAAAAAACAAACTTGAAAGAATTTTCTCGAAAGTAATTTTTAATTATAGAAAACGAAAGTGCCTAAACGTTTTTATTGGTTTTTTTTTTTTAAATTTAAAACAAAAATTCAAAATATTTAAAATAATGGGCAAGTATCTGTGTTAAATTTTTAATTAATTATAATCTTATTATTATTATTTTTTAAAAAAATTAGTAATAAATTATATGTGTACATCGAAACATTTTTTTTGACGTGATGTGTCTTGTAAAGGATATTGTTAGTTTTTTAAAACAATTAATAACGTTTAAATAATTTTTAGTTAAACTAAATTGAAAGTTAACGGTTTAACCGACTAAAGTTCGCGTGGGTAGTAATACGGATTATAAAAAGACACATCGGGTCATTTGATTTCAACACGTACAAAAATCATTTTAAAACATATAACCGTTTGAAAAACGTTTAACTTGCTTATATAAAACACAACAGCAAAAAAAAATTTTTCTTTTTCTATATTTTGTTCTTTTTTTTTCCCGTATAGTTTTATAGTTGAATATGAGTCTTTCAAATCAGTTTAATATGAAATCACTAATTAGTTATTAATTAGTAAATAATAATAATAATATGAGTAATAAGAATTTGTTTAAATCCATAATTGGGATTTAAAATTTTGTTACATTATTCTTCATTGTGGTTGCATATACTTATAAATTTCATTTTAATTTTACAGGTAAACGTTTTACTTGACTAGAGTAGTTTGGGGAAGAAACTCACATCCTTGAGTATTATGGTGTGTTGTGGAAGGATTGATTTGATGTTTTTCTGTTGACAAAACAACCAACAATAAAAAAAGGTAAGGAACATTAATAACAGTAAAATCAAAATAGTTAAAAAAAAAAAAATTTTTCAACATATTGTAAGAAATCTTACAACAACAAAATGGCGGAAGATATTTTTTACCTAAAATTTTATAAATATCTCATGAAACATTTATTGTAGCAAATATTTTACCAAAAATCAATAGTATGTTAAAAAACTAACAAATAAGATGAAATTTTTTTGTCATGAGAATGTTTTAATAATTTTTAAAAGTATAATAAATGAATAATAAAGAACAATAAATAATATTAATAATAATTAAAGAAAATTTATTGGTGTAACGAATATTTTAAAATTTTAATTATTATAATTGATATAATATTGATAGAATTTCGAATAAAATTTTAAAATTTTTAACAAAATGTATATTTAAAATTTACAATTTAATTTGCTTAGATTTTAATATTCCGCCATTTTGAAATTAAATTTTTTTTCCCCCATTAACGTTTCTAGTATGAATTTGGTTAACTACGCAAGTCAAATTAAGTATTGAAAAAAAAAACGGTTGATTTTTTTTTGTCGTATTTAAATAAAATTTCCTACTTTTTAAAATTACCGATAATAATAATAATAATAATAATAATAAATATGTAAATTTAAAAATAAGATTACTTTGTTTTTTAAAATGTGATTTCACCACGTCGAAATAAAAATTATTATAAAAAAGGCGTTTCCGGTAAAAAATTTATTCATCACCTGCTAGTTAATAATTTTAAGTAGAAAAGAATAAATAATAAGTCAATTA